TCAGTCTCTCTTGTGGTTCTCCATCCCTGCCTGGGCCTCTGCACCTTTCCATGGGGTCTCACCAATGTCCCTAGGTCCCAACCTGCCTCCCAGGGTCCCCTTCTGCTCACTGGGATCCTGTCTGTGCCCTTCCAATCCCCTCTTTCCCATCCCGTGTCTCCCACCCTTCCTGACTCCCCAATCCCTTCTGTGTCCATCCACAGGGGTCCCACTCCCAGGGGTGTCCCTGTCAGTGCAGCCCCCCGGGGGACAGGTGACACTGGGAGACAGCTTGGTGCTGAGCTGTGAGGTGGCCATGAGGACAGGTCCCCTGTCGTTCTCCTGGCACCGGAAGGGCTCCGGGGCACTGTTGGGCACTGGCCCCCAACTGGAGCTGCACTACATTGGGGACAATGACAGCGGTCAGTACTGGTGCCGGGTCAGCGACGGGGACAGCGTGGCCGAGAGTGATCCCCTGAATGTCACCGTCCTGGGGGAGCGGGACCCTCAGGCTGGGGGTGACCTCATCCACGGGACCCCCTTCTCACCTAGCCAGGTGCCAGCCCTGTCTCTGTCTCCACAGTGCCCGTGGCCAATGCCACCATCACCCTCAGTGCCCTGTCACACCAGGTGCATGCAGGTGACAATGTGACCCTGCGCTGCTCAGTAAAGGTGGGCTCAGCCCCTGTCACCTTTACCTGGCTGCACAATGGGCAGGAGGTGGCCTGGGGTCCCCTCCTGGAGCTTGCAGCAGTCGATGTGGGACATTCGGGCACCTACCAGTGCATGGCCACCAACCAGCTGGGACAGGATGGGCACCGTGTGTTCCAGGACCACAGCCCTGAGCTGGCCCTGGAGGTGAGACCTGGCTCATCCTGGGTCACAGGTAGGATCACACAGGGTTGCTGGGGTGTTCAGGGCCCCTGTAGTTCAGGGTGACCCCAATGTGTCCCCTCTGTCCCAGGCAGTGGCTGTGAATGTCGGCAGGACCCGCCTGTTCCTGCTCCTGCTCCTGGCTGTCATCAGGGGCTGTTACTGGTGCCACCACCGGGGTGGGTGACATAGGAGGTAGACAAGGTCCTACAGGAACTGGGGGGAAGCCCCACACACTGGGGGGCAGTTGGGGCATCACCCAAAGCCCCTGAGCTGGAGGAAGTTGAGCCCCCAGTGACCTTTGCTTGGGGTGCTCACACCTTTGGGGGTCTTTTGGAGGGTCCTGGGCTGTCCCAGGAAGGGCCTTGAGGAATATTGGGGTGTCACTGGGATCTCCTGGGGGCTTTTAGGGAGGTGTTGGAAAGTTGTGCAGGGATGTTGAGAGCTCCTCAGGGATCCTGAAGCAGTTTGGGGTCTTCCCTGCATTCCATTCTTGGGGTTCCTTGAGGCTTGAGGGGTGCTCAGGGGCTGTGTGAAGAATCAGGGTCCTGAGGTGGTTCAGGGTTCCTGGGGAGGGGTTTGGAGTACCTGGGTGCCTAAGGTGTTCTCGGGCTCCTCAGGGGTGGTTTGGGGTGCAGGGGCCTGGGAGTCCAGTAGAAATCAGTGTCTGGTGGGGGCTCAGGGCTCCAGTGAGCATTTAAAGGTCCCAGGTGGGGTTGGGGCCCAGGACACCCCATGATCACCCCATCCTCTTTTTCTTGCAGCTCTCAGGAAATCCCAGGACAGGTCAGTGGGGAGTTCCAGCCATGACTCTGCCTGATCCCCTCCCCACACACCCCTCAGACCCCCCCCTTATCCCCAAAGGCGTCCCCAGAACACCCTTATCCCCTGGAGGTGGGGGAGGGGCTGGACATGAGGGGGCAGGGGGTGAGTATGGGGGATGGGTGGGGACATGGACATGTCACCCATGGGTGTCACCCCAAGCCAGGTGTCTCTTACTGTCCCCCTCAAGGACCCCCAGGTGACCCACACAGAGCTGCCAGGACCACATGGGTGACTGCAGGACACCAGTGACATCCATGGGAACGTGCTGTGACAATATGGGACACTGGGAGTCCCCATCCCATGGCTCCCGTGGTGGCCCATCCTGCCTGGGGTGATGACCACAAGTCAGGGGGGGCTGCACAGGGCACCCAGTGCTCCCCTTTCCCCGTCCCAGTGCTCCCAGTACACCCCTGGCTTCCCTGGCTCCTCCCAGTGCCAGAGGACACAGGACCCATTTCCTTCCTATTTAGTCCAAAATGCAGCTTTCTGGTTAAACTGGCAGTGATGGTGTTTGTTCAGCTTTCTTGGGCTTTAGGAATGGGATTCTCCAGTTCTGGGTTCCCACTAAAAACCAGGGGCCCCTTTCTCCACCGCTCCCCATGGAGGCACAAAGATTCCAAAAGTCTTACAGTTCCTGAATCAGCAATGAAAGAAATAAACCAACAGCAACAAGGTTCAGAGTCCAAATTGTCACACAAGGAATGATTTCCAGGGAAAGCCACCAACAAAGAACAATCCCCGAACACTTCCCCCGCATCACGTTTCCTCCACCAGAGGAATCTGGCAGAGCCTTGGACCTTCCTTGCTCTGATGACCAAAGTGGCCTTCAAGAGGCTCTGGATTCTCTTGTCCCCTGTCCCAAACCCCTCCTCTACCATGTTCCCCACACCAGGATGTCACAAAGGCACTGAGGGTGTTCCTGAGCCTCCCCCTTTCCCAGGTCAGTTGGAATCAGGCCATGGCACAGGGTGAGGTTTCAAAGATAGGAAAAATTTGAAGTCTGCAGACATTTTGGAACACCTGTGTGTGGCAGGGGTGGGTCAGGACTTGCTTTTGGTGAGACAGGGCCCTGTCTGTCCATCATCTGTCAGCCATGGCACACTGGGGACAGCATGACACTTTGACAAAGTCAGCTCCTGAGTAGCCAGGTTGACCAGAAGAGCCACTTTGGAGGAGGGCCCTTGGTGACCCACCTGGCTTAAAAGGCAGAGCATGAGGTGGGCAAGTCCCTGACCCTATCTGCTCATGGGGTGTCTGTCACATCCACGCTGGAACCCAGAAGTTGGCAACTCATTTAAATGAGAAATATCTGCCAAGGAAAGTAGGAACCTTCCTGGAATAAGAAGACCCATCTCTAAACCTCTTTTTTAATTTCCAAGATTGTGGGGATATCAGGCAAAAGTGTAGGAAAAGGAATACCAGCTCTGTAGTGGGAAATTTACAAAGCAGATCAGAACAAACAACACAAACCCAGAACTTTCCCTCCTGCTCAGCGCTGTTGGTTTTTGTGGCAGTTATAACCGCGGCCAGCAGAGGGCGCTGCATGGAGCACTCCTGGCCAGCAGGGGGCGCCCCGCTCCAGCTCCATCCCCTCAGGGGCCATGGCGGCCTCGGACGGGAGGCAGGAGGGAGAATGGGAAATCGCCCCTTTTGCAAGCTCACGGGCACCAATCGCTCCTGGCAACATCATCGGCAGCGATCAGAAGCCGCCAAGGCAACAGGTTGCATCCCAGTGCCCACTGGCAGCGTAGCCGTGTCCCAGGGTCAGGCACACACCCTGCACAACACCCGTGAGCACTCTCCATGATCCCGAATGGAAGGAAGGCAGCGCCTGGTCTCAGGCTCATCTCGAGTCCACAGCAGCCCCTGGGGTGTCTTGACACCACAATTCCTGCCAACCCTCAGCCTTTCACTCAGGTGAGGAGGGCAGGGATGGGGCAGCTTTGGGGAAACCTGGAATCCACGCAGGATCACTCCCAAAACCTGTACCACAGCTCTGGGGCAGAGCCACAGCTCAATATTTCCACACTTTTCCCTCCTGTCTGGCAGCCACAGTAAAAAGCCAAACACTCTTCCTAGGCCATTCTAAAGGGCTTCATGTTTGAAGCAGGAAGGAGGAGGGAATCGGTCAGGTTGTTGAGCAGAGTGTTGCGGGATATGCAAGGCTTTTGGGGCTATCACAGACCCTTGCTGCAAGGGACAAAATGATCAATTGCAGCATTTCTGGACTGGTTCTCACACAGCTGCCCCTGCAGGGGGCGATTTCCAGCCAGTCCTGCTCTGAAAACCATCAAAGGCCCTCACAGAGCCACTGCTTGGGCTCCCTTTGGGGTTTGTGCTTCTTGCAGGGCTGAGCAAACCACAGGCAGGCTTTTTTCTCCCACAGAATTCTTACCTCTGCAGCAGCTCTAAAGCTGCAAGAATCAAAGCCAAGGGGGCAGGGGGGACCCTCAGGTCCTGGCTGCCACCAGGGCTGTCCAGAGCAGAGCTGGGCAATGGCCATCCCTGTTCAGTGGGGCTGGGCCATGGCTGGGCCCCACCCTTGGATGGCCACAACAACAACATCAGCCACTCCACAATACTTTTCACTATCTGAGCAACATCGCAATATTTATTCAACAGTATAACCAATAATGTAACATCAATTCATACAATATCCAGAAAAAGTCAATTTCCATTAACTTGTTTCTGTCAATATATGCCAGTAAAGAACTCTTATTCCTGTTCCCGCATCTTTACCTAAAAGCCCTGTTTTTCAAAATTATAATAGTTCAGAGAGAAGGGGATTGTATTTTCCATTCCAAGGGAGGTTCCCACCTTGTTCAGCTTCCTTGTCCGAGCTGAACAAAGAAACACCATTTCTGCCAGTTTAACCAAGGAGCTGCATTTTTGTCCCAGGAGCAGGGAACCAGGTCCTGTGCCCCCTTGGAACTGGCACGGGCACCGGTAAGCCACCTCATTAGGAGCACTGGGATGGGGACTGCAGAGCCACTAAGCACGCTGGTGTTAAGAGGATCATATCTGATTTTGATTTATGTCTCAACATATGCTGCACATGAGGTAAAAAATGACTCTGTGGTTGTACATGTGCTGGGAACCCTGTCCCTGGCGAGGCTTCACACAACAGACGATCAGGGGAGAGAAAGCTTCAGTGATCGGGCTATGAGTGACCCCCACTGGCTGGTGGGACAGATGCCCGAGGAAAAAAAACTATGAAAAAATGCCCCAGAAATCAGGCTGTGGGAGGAGCCTTTGCAAATAAAAGCAGCTAACTGCGACACAACAGGAGTGTTTTGCTTTGGGTTTCTTGCAGGGATCAGGGGCTAGCTCAGAGGGTCAGTTTGGCCCTCCTCCCCTGTGGGATTCACATTCTCTGAACCTGGGAGAAAGCAGTAAGAGAAGCAAAGAATGATCCAAACAATTCTCATCTCATTTTCTGCTCCTGTGTTTTTCACACGTGGAATGCATTGTGGAAAATTGATTACCTGAAGGGAATTGCTAATTGGATTCTGGTGTGTTTTGATTCACTGACCAGTTGAATCCAGATGTGTGTGTGTGTGTGTGGGGACTGTTGGCTGACAGTCATGAGATTGTGCGCAGTGGAGTGCAGCTGAGTGCTTGGCTGATCCTGTTTAGATGTAATTGAATATAATATAGACTAATATGGTATAATAAAGTACTTAATTAGCCTTCTGAAAAGGTGGAGTCAGATACATCATTCCTCCCAGTCGTCCGGCAAAAATATCGCAGACACTCCCCCACCCCCGCCTTTTCCTCCTGGTGGTCCTTGTTCCCTGTCCGCATCTATTCTTCCCTGCTTCGCTGCTTCCCCGAGGCAGCTCATTCCTGCTCGTCCTGGATGTTCCTTCATTGCTTTCCCCGATGGAGCAGATGCTGCCTGTACCCACCCGCCGCCTCTGCCGCGTTTCCCATGCTGCCCACAGCACCGAGCCTGCTGCACCTGCCCACTGCAGCCCCAGCCCGTGGCAGCCAGCCCAGAGCCTCCAGTGCCGCAGCACCAGCCCGCAGCCAGCCCACAGCAGCCAGCCTGCAGCCATCGCTCGCCCATGCCAGAGACACGCAGGTGCCGTCCTTGGAAATCACGCCCAGCCACTCACAAAGCCATGTGGGCTCGCCCTGGCTTGCAGCACACACACTCCATCTGCCCAGCTGATGCCCACAGAGCGCCCGGGCTTCTTGCAGTAACGCTATCCCTGTCTTCTGTTTCTCTCTCTATCCTTTTCCCTTTCTACTCCTTTCTCTCCCACTTTGGTAGGAACACTTACCCTCCTTTTTCAATAAACAGTTCTCTGATGTAATATTGCCACGGTGGTGCTTCATTTTCATCTGAGAAACCTTTCAGCAAGAATCCTCCCCGACTCCCCCTTTTACAGCGGGATGGGACAGGGGTAGTGGGAGGGGGAATGGGGAACCCCTGGGTGTACTGCAAGCACTGTGGGGAGAGAATGGGGCAGTGCCTGAGGGTACTTGGGCACTTGGATGGGGCTGGGGAGCCCCTGCAGGTACGAGCAAAGGGATGGGGGAGCCCTTGGGGATACTGGGAGAGGAAGTGAGGAGCACAGGGTGCCCTGTGTAGCCTCCCCCTGACCCATGAGCACCTCCCTTGGAAGGATGGGCAACCACAGGAGCCATGGAGGGAGCACCCCCAGTGTCACCCAGTGCCTCCCACTTCCCAGAGCATCACAACCCTTGGTGTTGATTGTCATAGTTGTCGCTGGGTTCCCACGGTTGCCTGTGCAGCTCCATGTACATCGCCTGAGGATCCTCCACCAAGGGTGCCAGGGGGTCTGGGGGGCCCTGTGGGAATAAGGGGGTGTGTGGAAGGGGATGGGATGTGCTGGGGGTTTGGGTAAAAGGTGTATCATGGCTGGAGACTGCACTCACCTTTCCTGGTGCTTCCTGGCATCTGCAAAGGAAAACTGGAGGGGTGACTTTGAAGACCCAGGCGCGCCCATCCACCCTTGGCAATGCTGAACCACCACCAGATACACAATTCTCCCCAGGCCCCCCCAGTATCCCTGATGCCCCCCCCGTATCCCTGACCCACCAGACGTGCACCAACACCCTGAGCCCCCCCAGAACCCCGAGCCTGGCAGGGAGGGGGACCCCTGATAGAACTCCCAACATCCCTGCAGGAGCCTCCAACAGCTCCCCAGGGCTCTGAGCCATGGTCACTGGGGGCTCAGCCCCTCCCAAGCCAGGGGCTGTGGGTGCTGCCCTATGGCCCCTCTTCTCTGGGGCCCTTGACACCCCTCTCCATTACCCTTTTGCCCTCATTGTCACCCACCCACACGATGCCTCCAGTGCCAGGCCACAATGACAGCCACGAGCAGGAGCAGGAACCAAAGGGCCCCACCGACCCCTGCGGCCACTGCAAGAAACAGAGGGGGACACATCAGGGTCACCCATCACCCCAGGGATCCTGCACTCCCTGGTGACCCTCTATGATCCCACCTGTGACCCAGGGTGAGCGAGGTTTCACCTCCAAGGCCAGCTGAGGGCTGAGTGCCCGGAACACACGGTGCCCGTCCTGTCCAAGCTGGTTGGTGGCCATGCACTGGTAGGTGCTCGAATGTCCCACATCGATGGCCTTGAGCTCCAGATGGGGACCCTGGGCGACCTCCTGCCCATTGTGCAGCCAGGTGAAGGTGACAGGGGCTGAGCCCACCTGCACTGAGCAGCGCAGCGTCACGTTGGCACCTGCATATACCTGGTGTGACAGGGGCCCTGGGGTGATGGTGGCATTGGCCACGGGCACTGCGGGGACAGAGACAGGGCTGGCACTGGGCGAGGTGGGATGGGGGTGCCATGGGTTGGGTCACCCCCAGCCCAAGGGTCCCGCTCACCCAGGACGGTGACATTCAGGGGATCGCTCCCGGCCATGCTGTCCCCGTCGCTGACCCGGCACCGGTACTGGCCGCTGTCATTGTCCTCCACGTGCCAGAGCTCCAGGTGCGGGCCAGTGCCCAGCAGTGCCCCTGAGCCCTCCCGGTGCCAGGAGAAGGACAGGGGACCTGTCCCCATGGCCACTGTGCATGTCAGCACCAGGCGATCCCCAAGTGTCACCTGTCCCCTGGGGGGCTGGGCCCACAGTGTCACCCCTGAGGGCGGGACTCCTGCAGAGGGACACAGGAGGGAATGAGGACCCAGAAGGGGTGGGGGACATGGGAGGGGAAAGAGGAGTTTTGGAGGGGAGCAGAGAGGATCCCAGTAAGCAGAAGGGGACCCTGGGAGGCATGTTGGGACCTAGAGATAATGATGAGACTCCATGGAAAGGAGGAGAGACCCAGGCAGGGATGGGGAACCAAAAAAGAGACTGAGTAGACTCAGGGAATGATTTGGTGTTTAGAGATGGGTGGGAGGACCCTGGGAAAGAAGGGATGTGGGATTTCTGGGCTGTTCAGATGGTCTGGGGAAAAGCCCAAAGATGGCCTTGGGCCCCCGGGTTCGAAAGGACGAGAGGAAGCTTCAGATTTGTTCTCGGTCTCGGTGTTTATTAATTGCTTATCTAAAAGATTTTCTCTTGGCCTGACAGAGTTCTGCTCAGCAGTCAGCCATGGGCACACACTGAAAGCCCCTGGGGCGGTCACCTATCTTTATACCCGGAGTTACGTATACAATATTTATCATTTTTCTCCAATACCCTCTACCCTTATTAACCAGTGTTCCCCTAGTAAGGTCCAATCCCGGAGTGCCAACATCACCACAGAAGATGGAGGTCTAGAGGAAGAAGAAGAAGGAGAAGGGCACGCCCCAATTCCTCCATCTTACTTCTCTAGACCCCCCTGTACAGAAATCTTAAACCCTGTATCTCACACTCCAATTAACTTGTCCCTTCACCATTCACCCCAGTGAAATCCTCCCGTCCTCATACTGATGTCATCTCCCATGTGGGATCAAAGTCCAGCCACCAGACATCTCTGGCAGCATTCCAGGACTCCCGAGCCCCCCAGGGGGGGTCTTGTTCACCCTGCGCCCCAGTTCTGAGAGACTGAGATCCCACATCTCCCCCTTCTGTTTGCACCAAAAAGATCTTTTTCGCCATCCGATTCATTGCATGTTTTAAACATGCAAATATGCATGGGACAACAAGTATGAGGACTAGGAGAACTATTAAAACATAAAACCCTATTTTTAAGATTCCTCTCCAAATGGGAGAGATGTCAAAGAATTCTGCCAATTGATCGATCCATGATCCTGTGATCTCACCAAGCTTATTTATGCTGTCCTTTATATTTTTGATATTTTCATGAATTGACTTTGAATGATCTGAGAGATTCATGCAGCACATCCCTTCGAACTCTTCACACCCATGTCCATGAGCGAGCAATAGATAATCGATTGCTGCTCTATTTTGAAGAGTCGCCTGTCTCACACTACCGACGTCTTTTAACATATCATCCAATGTGACAGACACAGACCGCGCATGTTTGCTCAACCAACAACCCATGCGGTCGATCTGAGTCAAGGCCACCCCCGATGCTGTCTGAGGTGAGAAGATTGCTGTAGCAATACTCGTTTTCTTGTCCCAAGAAAACATTTCATCATTGCAATCTGCTGCATATTGCTGTATTGATCTTTTTTCTCTGTGCCTTCCCTCTCTTAACATGTTCAAATCAGGCGATAGCATTGAAATTTCCCCAATGCTGCATGGACCTCCCGTGGCATTAGCAGGAATGCCGTGCCAAATTCTGTCCCCGCAAATTAAGAACAGACCCCGCGGCAATTGCACCGGAACTTGGATCGATCCTTTGGTAGTTCTCTTTGTATATTTACACCAAGCTGAGGCATTCTTATAAAATTCATGAGTGGGAGTTAAATCAATAGTTTTCACCTTTGTGACTTTCGGAGCTTCAAACTGCATGCAGAGTTTCATTGTCATGGACCCAAAAATCTCCAATTCCTGAGGTTCTGTAGAAGCCACAGGAAGCAGGTGTGTCCAAGCACACCACTCTTTTATAGGATTTTTAATGACCTGCGAAATGTTAATTGCAGAGTGCCCTGGAACTGGCCATTGGTCCACTGGCAATCCAACCATGCATGCTGAAAACGGTTTACCTGGTCTTGAATGTGTCAGGCAGATGCTGTCTAAATTCGCTGCCCGAGCTAAAGCCTCCCATACATTTTGCCTTGGTTGACTAACAGGTAAGTCTCCCCCACTGCTTACTGCAATGAATGAAAGAACGATGCACATAAGCATCATGAAACCCATTACTTTGCTTTTGTGTGAAAACCCCCCAGAGTCCTTGGTTTCTTTTTTATTTCTCTTCTGGGTCGTTTTTCGCAGTCTGAGTCTCGACTTCTGTCTGAGTACTCGTCTCTCTGCTTCTTGGATCAGCATTCTCGTGTTCTCGCGTTCGGAATGGTTTCACGTGCCGCGCTGACACCCACTTCAGACCTCGATCTGTGGAGATACAAGCGAAACCCTTTCCCCAAGTGATTAGTCTGAAAGGACCCTCTATTTGTCCGGTCTCTGGGTTCCTGATCAAAACTAAAGGATCTCCCTTTAGCTTTGCCTGCGTGTTGTTTAGAAAATGTCTCACGATCGGTGGATCAGATGGATAATCCCTTTGTTGTGTTAACATTGTTTTCTTCGAGGTGCTTTTCTTTTTATATATTGTTGGAAAAAATTGCTGCATTGTTGCAGTCTCGCCACGAGATGGCGCTGTGGCTCCGCCGAGCCGACCCGGCATGTCGTGCACTTCTGCCCTCCTGCCACTAGGTGGCGTTGTCACCGGCCTCCCTGGCTCGGATGACGGTGCAATCTCGACTACCCTACTTCCTCTTCCTGCTCGGCGTCCCCCATGAGGGGAAGGAACTGAAACTCCGAGGCTCGAGACCAAAGGCACCAGATCTGGAGACGGTGTGGAGCCGCGGGACGTAGAATCCCTAACACGGCCCCTCCTCACCCGCGACGTCACAGGGGACCGGGCTCGGGCCCGCCCGCGTCTTACTCTCTGCGCGTGCGTGCTCTCTGAGCTACTTCCGGTGTCCCCCAAGGTGACGTCATCATCGTCTCCCCCCTGTTTCACCTCCGAGGTTCCCGCCCCTCGGTCTGTCCCGGAATCCGACCCCTCCTCCTCTGATGTTGTGTTCGCCTCCCCCGCCGGCACCCCGGCTCTACCCGCGATTCGAGCTGACCGTCGCACCGGCTCTGACGTCACACCCGCGCGCCTCCTGCGTCCCGCCGCGGCGGCCCTCCGGGGCTGCGCGTTTTCCCTCAGCCCGCCTTGCGCGCTCGCCGCCCCCGCGCTGGTATGTGAGTCTATCCCCCGGTTTTTGCGAGTTTCGCCCTCCGCGGGCGTGTCCTCATCCTCACCGGCGCTGCTCGCGCCCGCCGCCGCCGCCGCGTCGCCGCTTTCGCCGCGAGCAGGCCCCCCCCCCGATCCCTTATCTTCCTGCTCCCCCCCTTCTGCTCCTGACTCCTCCACACTCTCTGGAGTTTCAGGACGCCCTTGGGGTTTGTTGCATTTTTTGATCGGGGGTTTTAATATTTTTTCCTGCTCTCTTTTTTCGAGAGCCCTTTCCCCCTGGCCTTTCAAAGCCAGAGCAATTTTTTTCCCGGAGCTCTGCCGCTCCGCCCCCTCCTCTGAGGGTGCCGCAGCTTCTCGCTGCTTCTCCAGTTTTTTAGACTGGACTGCAATACTTTGTAACATGATTCTTGCCGGCGAGAGTAGCTTTAACGCTGTCTCATCTTTTTTTGTTGCTAAAATATATAAATGCCTATTAATCTCTTGCCAAAACCCGACTTCGAACAAAAGATATGTTTCTGCAAGTGGGTAATTGAGCCTTGCCCATAATAACAGCTGTTTTAATTCTTTCTTTGGGATCCCTTCTGTATATAATTCTGCTACACTTTGTAAGGTGGATAAGATTTCCCGTTGTTCTTGGGAGAGTGTTGCCCCCATAATATTATTTTGGCCTTCTTACCGAATCTGTCGCCAGCGTGGTCTGGAGGCCCTTGTTCTCCGTCCAGCAGATCACGAGGGATGGATCAGAGGCGCCTTTCTGGTCCCAGTCCAGGCCGCTCTGCTACGAGCTGTCTTCAGCAGAAGCTGAGAGATGGGATTTCTCAGTGACTGCTGATTTTTGCAGCTTCTCCCGGCCGGTTTTTTCTTTTTCTTCTTTCTTTCTTCAGGCTTCCCTCCTCTGGAGTTATCAGTGCTGTTCTCTTGGCTCTTCAGCTCTTCAGGGCTTTCCCCCCCCCCGAAAGGTTTGGTGGGAGATAGCCCGCACAGCGGACGCCAATTGTGGGATTTCTGGGCTGTTCAGATGGTCTGGGGAAAAGCCCAAAGATGGCCTTGGGCCCCCGGGTTCGAAAGGACGAGAGGAAGCTTCAGATTTGTTCTCGGTCTCGGTGTTTATTAATTGCTTATCTAAAAGATTTTCTCTTGGCCTGACAGAGTTCTGCTCAGCAGTCAGCCATGGGCACACACTGAAAGCCCCTGGGGCGGTCACCTATCTTTATACCCGGAGTTACGTATACAATATTTATCATTTTTCTCCAATACCCTCTACCCTTATTAACCAGTGTTCCCCTAGTAAGGTCCAATCCCGGAGTGCCAACATCACCACAGAAGATGGAGGTCTAGAGGAAGAAGAAGAAGGAGAAGGGCACGCCCCAATTCCTCCATCTTACTTCTCTAGACCCCCCTGTACAGAAATCTTAAACCCTGTATCTCACACTCCAATTAACTTGTCCCTTCACCATTCACCCCAGTGAAATCCTCCCGTCCTCATACTGATGTCATCTCCCATGTGGGATCAAAGTCCAGCCACCAGACATCTCTGGCAGCATTCCAGGACTCCCGAGCCCCCCAGGGGGGGTCTTGTTCACCCTGCGCCCCAGTTCTGAGAGACTGAGATCCCACAAAGGGAGACCAAAGGCTTGAGCAGGGAGCTTGGAAGGGGTGGGGAATCTAGGGAGGGCTGGGGAGGACAAAGAGAGGGATGAGGCATCTGCAGGGGGAACTGGGCAGTCATGGGGGAAACCAAGTGGGACTTGGGAAATTTGGGGCGACCCAGGGAGGAGTGGTGGGAGGAATGGATTTCGGCAGTGGTGGGGAAAACCTTGGAGGATATCAGGCACCCCTGTCCCCATCCCTGCACTCACTGTGCACTGTCACTGTCACTGTCACCAGCTCCGACTCCTTCCACAATGGAAGCACAGCATTCACCCTGCCCTTGCAGCTGTAGTGGCCACTGTGGCTCAGCTGCAGAGGGGACAGGGACAGCTTGGTCCCATCGTGGAGACCCTCCAGTGTCTTCCCGTCATGGTAGAAGGACACCCTTGTGAGCTGTTTGTTCTGCCTTCTCCGGCAGCGCAGTGTCACCGTGTCCCCCTCCAGCAGCACCCGTGCCGGAACCTGCAGCACCAGCGATTCTGGGGGACAGAGGGGTCCTGTCACTCCAGGACCATCAGGAGGGTCATGATGGCACCAGGAGGGACCAGGAGCCACCCATTGTGAGGGAGAAGTCTCCTTGCACTGGGATGCTCTGGGATGTCCCCAGAGCAGGGCACAGGCTCTGGTCACACCAGCAGGTTTCACATGGAGCAGAGCCAACCCAGAGACCTCCGGTTACCTGCAGGTTCCAGGCTGGGGACACACAAAGCCCACTTACCATCTAAGACTGTCACGGTGGGACTGCGCCCAGTGCCGGGTCTGTCACACATGTAGGTGCCACTCTTGGTGACAGTGAAGTAGTGGTGTCTCTCCTGCCACCGGCGCTGTCCATCCTTGTACCAGTTGGTGGCACCGGTGCTCCCCGAGCCCTGGCAGGTCAGTGTCACCCGGTCCCACAGCACTGCTGGCCTCCAGGGGGGCTCCACCAGCAGCTGGGTGGTCTGGGCACCTGTGGGTGACAGGGGACACCAGCCTGCCAGGGCCAGCGTGGGGCTGGGGACAGCGAGGTGGGGCCATGGCATCCCCCAAGGACTCACCAGCAAGGCCAAGGGTCTGGGCTGGAAGGGAGAAGGGACAGGGCTTAGTGGGGGTGGCACTGTGTGGACAGAGGCACATGGGGTAAAGGGTGTGGGGGATGTGCCCAAGTGTCCTTGTGTGACATGGACACCTTGGGCACAGGGACACAGCAGCCACCCCATGCCCAGGCAGGACACTGAGACACTGTGTACACCCCTGAACCGGGGACACCATGGCCACCCTGTGCTGGCACAGGTCACCCCCACCATGATGCCTCCCCAAATCCTTGTCTGCCTATTATTGTCCCCATATTCCTGTCCCACTTCCCCTCTCCCCACTGCCACCCCATGGCTTCGGTCACCTCATGCTCTGGCTCTGCTGGCATTGGGGACCTCAGGGGACCCCGCAGACCCCCTGTGGCCCCACCCGTCCCTATCCCTCGGGTGTCAGGCCCATGCCTGGGGCACTCACCCCACAGGAGCAGCGCCACCTTCCCGGCCATCCTGGTGTCCCCAGCCATGTGGACTGGCTGTCACTCACTGCCGGGAGTGGTTGTCCCCTGGCTGGTGGCTATTTGGATAAAGGGGAAGGAAGTGAGGTCAGGTCTTGCCCTCATGTGTTGGTGGCCCTTAGTGGGGGCAGGGTGGCCACAAGCACAGGGTCACAGGGATGTGGCCATGGGGACAGGCTGTGGGCAGCGTGGGACCAGTCTGGGGACATGGCTGGTTGCGACACAGTGGGACGTGGGGTTCCCAGGATTGGGGGGCTCAGGGGTGTTTGGGGACAGAGAGAGGGGTGTCCAGGGGAATTGGGGTCCCTGGGAAAGGGGATGCTGAGGATGGGGAAGTCACCAGGGATGGCGTCTATGGGAATGGGGGTGCCCAGGGCAGGGAGGACTCAGGCATGGGGGTTCCAGGGGAACATGAGCTCCAGGAATTTGTGCTTATAGGATGGGGATGCTGGGGGAATGGGGGTTCCTGTGGGAATGAGGCCCTGGGAGAATCAAGGTCCTGGGGGAAGGGAGATTTCAGGAGATGGAATGAATGGGAGAGGGTTCCTTGGGAAGGTTGTGTTGGGATATGGAGATCCTGGGGAATGTCAGTACTGGGATGGGGATGGCAGAGAGGAGGGACGCAAGAAACGGGGGTCCCACGATTTGATTTCCAGGGAAATGAAGGTCCCAGGGATGGGCAAGGGTTTGGTGAGCCCGTGGTTCACAGCTCCTTCCCTGGGTGCCTCAGATTTTGGGGTGACCTAGGGCCCAGCACCGCCCCCACAAGGTGCCAGCAGCCAGGAGGTCACCTCAGACAGATTGCGAGGTGCTCTGTGTCTGAGCCCAGCATGTGATCACTTTGTCCCTGTCCCCAAGGGTCTGGGAGAGCCCTAAGAACTACTGCAAATCCCACAACAATCTGCTCAACAACCTGACCTGGACCCTCCTCCTCCTCCCTGCCTTGCCATGGATGGACAGTGGCTGGATGCCCCGCACCCACCACAGCTGCTCTCTCTCTGCCCTCTACACCTGGATGGGGAGAGAAAATTGAGCAAAGGGTTCCTGGGTTGAGACAAGGACCAGGAGAGATCACTCATCAAATCCTGTCACGGGTAAAACTACCTCTGAATTAGAGATATGAATTGAATTTATTGCTGATAAAATCAGAGCAGGATAAGGAGAAGTCAAATAAATTCTTCGATACACCCTCCTCCTGTTATAAATAACTTTGTAGTCACTGCCTTTTACTGATATATTGCTTTTTGCAAATTATTTTGATACAATACAGTTTGTAATCACTTTTTAACTGCTTTTGATACACTACAAATTTTCAGCCTTTTTATCCTAATCGCTGTTATGAATATGTATTTTAGTGTGGTAAATATATTATAGTTTAGGCTCTGACAAAGTATCAAGGTAGAGACAATGTGCTGTGTATTACAACATTAACTGTTGCAGATGTAGCTAATGCCTTTATTTGTGCAAGCAGGTGACAATGGCGAGAATAACTCAGATGATTGTGTAAAATAGCTAATGTTGATTTAATGTACTGGTGGAGTTTCTCATCTGTATGAGAAGAAGACATTGAAAAGTAGCAAGTGAAAAAACAGCAAAAGAAAGACTACAAAGAGGAATTTATCACTTACCATTCAGCTATCAAGAACTGTCAAACTATAAATCAGGGGAGCCTTGTGAAGAAATAAAATATATAAATTTAATCTGCAGTATGGTGTGTACTTTATGAAAATGGATCAAGGGTCAAACCAAGCAAAAGGATTTCTGGAACATGTGAAGTGGAAAGAATGTTTGAATATGTATAACCCTTCTGAGTATGTATTTCACCAATACAATGAAAAGGTATGTAAGAAGAATTGTTGTAGTTAACAATGTGCCTCTGGCAGTTGCCAAGCACCCAGCATGCTGCTTATTGTCCCTTTTATTCCTTACTAAACATTTAAAAATCCAATCACCAATTCCCTTCAGGTAAACAATCTTCCACAATGCATTCCACTTGTGAACAACACAAGAGCAGTAAATGAGATAGGAATTGTTTGCATCATTCTTTACTTCTCTCATTGCTTCTCCCAGCCCACACTTACAGCCCGATCACTGAGGTTTCTCTCCCCTGATTCTCTGTTGCGTGAAGCCTCACCAGGGACAGGGCTCCAAGCACATGGACAACCCACAGAGTCATTTTTCACTTCATGTGTAGCATATGTTGTGATATAAATCAAAATCAGATTTGTCCCTCTTAACCCCCATGTGCTTAGTGGCCCTGCAATCCTCCTCCCAGTGCACCCACTAAGGTGGCTTACTGGTGCCCATCCCAGTTCCAAGGGGGCACAGGACCTGGTTCCCAGCTCCTGGGACAAAAATGCAGCTCTTTGGTTAAACTGGCAGAAATGGTGTTTCTTTGTTCAACTGTGTCAAGGAAGCTGAACAAGATGGGAACCTCCCTTGCAATGGAAAATACGACCCCTTTCTCCCTGAACTATAATAACTTTGAAATTACAGGGCTTTTAGGCAAAGATGTGGGAACAGGAATAACAGTTCTTCACTGGTATCTATGGTGAGAAATAAGTTAATGGAAGTTGACTTTCGCTGGATATTATACGAATTGATATTACATTATTATTATATTGTTGATTAAATATTGTGATGTTGTTGGGACAGTGATGTGTATTGTGGAGTGGCTGATGTTGTTGGGGTGGCCATCCAAGGGTGGGGCCCAGCCATGGCCCAGCTCCACTGCACAGGGATGGCCATTGCCCAGCCCTGCTCTGGCCAGCCCCAGGTGGCAGCCAGCACCTGAGGGTCCCCCCTGAACCCTTGGCTTTGATTCTGGCAGCTTTAGAGCTGGATGGGAAATTGAGGAGAGCCATTCCCAGCAGCATTCCAGGAGCAACTCCCTCTGATAAATCCCTTTTTTTGGGAATGTGGAAGGGGTTTCACCCGGAGAAGGAGGTTGTTGCATTTCCCACTACAGGATGGAAGAGCCTCTTTTTCCTTCATTCCATGGGAAGGTTACTGTGTGAAAAGCTTTGGATTCAATGGGTGGAAGCTGGAGGTTGGATTTCTCATGGAATTCCTCTCCCACCCCTTTTCCAGGGAGCTGGGAAGAAACTCCCCAGCCCAGTGTGACATTCCCTGGATATAATGGAGGCAGTGTGGAAAACATCTCATCCACCAGCTGGGCCGGGATCTGAAATTCTTCTATTAGGAAAAATGGAGCTGTTGGCAAAGGCTGGGAGATCCTGGAATCTGGCAATCTTCCATTGAGAAGAGCAGAGCTGCTGGCAAAGCGGGAGGATGAAGCAGAATTCCCATCAGGCCAACATGGATAAGCAAGGGCCCCATGACACGAAAAACATTCCGGGGTTCCTGTTCTGACAGGGATTGAGTAATTTTCCACCAGGATTTGGGAAAATTCCCTGACTTGGGGTCTGTCAGGGGAATTCACTGTGAGGAACTGGGCAAGAAGCATCCTGGAAATGGAGACCCCTGGGAACAGATGGGGTGCATGAAGGATCTGAGAAATTCCAGAGGGAAGGGAAGGAGAGGGGAGCGAAAAGAGGGGGAAAAGGGGTGGAAAAAGGGAAAAGGGGAAAGATAAGAATGGGAAATCAGCTGGTGATCAAAGGGATTTTAGCTTCCATTTCCAATTCACTTCTTAAATTTTCTAAGGTTAAAGACTCCTCAGAGCTTCTGGACAAGGAAATTCCCACTGCCTGTTCCTGGGGTGAATTCCCAGCAGCGCCTTTGGTGAGCAGAACACTGGCAATGTGCCGAGCCAGCAGCTCCCACTGCACTGCAGAGACCATTCCAGACCTTCCCAAGGCAGAGCCGGCTTCTCCCATCCCACAAAATGGAAATTGAGCCCACGGAGAGAGGGACAGTCCAACCTCCTGAGGGAAAAGCCTTTGGCCTCACCCATGAATGTTGGAAAGACGCTGATTCTGGAGTTTATTCCTTCAAAACCTGACACCTTCCCAGTGCTGCGCCTGTTCCAGAGGTTTCCCTGCAGCAGGAATGAGTCTGGTGGGATCCAGGATGCCCCAGCCCTGCCCACCCCACCTAAATCCGGCCATTTTCCCACTCAGTGTTAAGGATAAATCCCTTTTTCCTCCATTCTGTCCTTCCTCAAACAGCTCCAGAGCTTCTCTTCCTGGTGGATTGGTGATGATCCACATTCCGGGCATTACTCAAGAGCTCAATTAGCTCCCATTGTCTGTCCCTGCAGATTCCAGACCATTCCAGAGCCTGGGAAGGCACAGAGAGGAGCTGGATGCTGGATGTGGGAGGGAAGGATGGAAAAAGGACCTGGAGCATCTGTTGGTGTTGGATAAGGATGGGGAAGAGTGGGCTTTTCGTGGAAAACACACTTGGATGGGTGATCTCCAGGGTTTTCCAGGATAGGGATGAGCTGTGGAGTGCCAGAGCCACAGGTGAGTGTCCACATCCCAAATATCCCCCATAAATCCCAAAAGGAATCCCTCAGGAGCAGAACAACCTCCTTGCTCAGGCTCTTCCTCCCCAAAAATTCCCTTCCTTGGGGCCTGTCTGCTAGGAATTCCACAAGGTGGGAAGGAAATCCTGCATGGAATCAACACCCTGAACATCCCAAATCCATCCAGGCAGCTCCTCCCAGAGCTCCAGGGCCTGGATTTTGGGGAGTTCCCTCTGGAGGAACCGGGGTGGCCGGGAGAGTGGATTTCCCACCCCAATCCTGCTGCTCCTGTGAAAGGAAGGGAAATCAGAGCTATTTTGGGACTCCTGGGTTATTGTTTCCTCCTCCAGGAATTCCAGGAGTTGGGATTTTCACAGAGCTGAGGAAAATGAGGGGACTTTCATGCTGCCAGAACAGGGATGGGACTCAGGAATTTTGGGGTGGTTTCTGCAGAAAAAGATGGGAATGCTGGGCTATTGGAAGTGGGTGATCTTGGAATATTGAAAAATAGGGATATTGGAATATGGGGACATTGAGTTATAGGAATATTGGTATATTGGAATACAGGGAAATAGGAATACAGCAGTGTTGGAATACTGGGATATTGAAATAGTGAAATATTGGAATATCAAAAACTGTAATATTGAAATAGTGAAATATTGAAATATTGGAACACAGGATTGCTAAAAAAACTGAAATACAGGAATATTAAAATATTGGAATATTGAAATATTGGAACACAGGAATACTGAAATATTGAAATATTGGAATCTTGAATTATTGGTACACAGGAATACTGAAATATAGGAATATTGAAATACTGGGATGCAAGGCTATTGGAAAATTGGAATACTGGAATATTGAAATATTGGAAAACAGGGTAGTTGGGAAATTGAATGGAATGCAGGAACACTGGATTATGGAAATATTGGGATACGGGAATACTGGAGTATTGAAATGTTGGGATACATAAATATTGGAATATTGAATATTGGGATACATAAATACTGGAATAGGGCAAGAGCCAACCTGACAGCCCTACAGGACACAGGGACAAATTAAAGCCACTGCTCCCAGGAAATAATTGGATAAACCAAGAGGAAATTCCCAATCCTTCCACCTCCCATAGGGATACCAGAATTGGGAGACCACAAGCAAACCCTCATTAACCATCATTAACCCCAGGGCTTAATTATTTCACACACCATCCCCCAGTCCTCACCTGGGAGCGCCCACTGAACCCCAAAATTCCAGCACCGAGCTCCATACCTGTCTCTCATGCCAAACTCAGCTTTTTAAAAGTTCCCCAAAACGCTCAAAAATGAGGGAAAATTTCATCCCAGTGCCCACAAAACCCTCCCCCCTCAGCCTGGGAATGCTGCTCCCCCAATTGGCACATCCAGGTACATCCAGAATTCTCCCCACTCCCAGCACTTCTCCTGAACGGAAAAATCAAAGAATCGGGAATTTGGGTCAGCTGGGACAGAACCAAATCCCAGCTGGGATATCTGCAGGATTCCCCCGGCCACAGGCAGGTCCTGACAGCTCCTCACACCCCTTGGACTTCCAGAGCTGGCAGCAAAACATTCTTGCAGCTCAGAAATCCCTGGAATTAATCAGTAATTGGACATCAACAACGCGGAGTGAAGTGTGACAGTGGGAGGATCTGGAGGGATCCCTAAAAACCAAACCCCACGCTGGGGTTTGAGGGATTTCAGCCACAAAGTTTAAGGACTTTTTTGGAGGAAAGGAAGATGAGTTTCCACACAGCAGGAATATTCCCATGGGAAGGTGTTTTCTGGGGCAAAGTTACAATTTTGGGTGTGAAAAAGCAGCAGCTGGAAAGCACAAGAGCCAGGAATGGGAAGGAAGCATCTACAGGTTGGAATCCAAGGGGTTTATCCCTAAAAATGCTCCTTTGCCCTCCCCAGGATGGTCCTCACACTGAAATCTGAGGGATTTATCCCTAAAAACGCCCTCTGCCCTTTCTAGGAGTCTCTACATTGAAATCCAAGGGGTTTATCCCTAAAAATTCCCTCCCAACCTCCTCAGGAGGGTCCCCACAATTAAATCCAAGGGTTCTCCTGTAAGACCCCCACCCAAAACCCCCAGCGAGGGTTGTGGGGCTCAGTCTGGGCTCAGCGCCCCCATAAGAACACCCCAAATTCCCCTCAAAGGCTGAGGGTTCATGACACCCTCAGCAAGGCATCCTCAGCCCCCTCAAGACCCCCCTTTTGGACCCCCTAAACCTCACCAAGGGATCTTCTGCCCCCTTGGTGCCTCCTCAGGACTCCCAGATCTCCTTCAAGGGCCGGGGGTCTCAACCCCTTCTCATGACATCCTCACCAGGGAACCCTCAGCCCCCTCACGACCTCCCAGATTCCTACCAAGGGTTGAGGGCTCCCCCTCCTCCCCAGTCACACCCTCACCAGGAGACCCTCAGAGCTCCCAACACCCCCAAACCTCACCAAAGGGCGCTCAGCCCCCTCAGGATTCCCCCAAACCCCCAGCAAGGGCTGGGGTCCCAGTCCCTCCTCATCACACGATCTTCAACCCCCTCACGACCCCCCAAAACCTCCCAATTGCCGGGGGTCCCAATCCCCCTCATGACCCTCTCACCCAAGGCCCTGCAGAGCCCCTCAGCACCCCAACACCGCACCAAGGGCTCGGTGTCCCCTCAGCCCGGGCCCCTCAGAGCCCCCTCAGGACCCCCAGAGCCCCCTCATGGCCCCAGAGCCCCCCCATGGCCCCCAGAGCCCCCTCATGGCCCCCAGAGCCCCCTCATGGCCCCAGAGCCCCCCCATGGCCCCCAGAGCCCCCTCATGGCCCCCTCAGGACCCCCATTCCCGCTCCCCCGGGATTGCCCCTGTGTGTGGGGCGCGTTCCCGGGCCCGGCTGCCGGGGGCCTGTGGCTGGGCGGCCCCCTCGTACTCACACCTCCAGGATGCCGGGTCCCCCTTGCGCACCCTGGCGCGGTCGGCGGCTCCTCCGCCCAGCACGGCGCTGACGCGCTGCAGCGGCACGTACAGCTCGCCGTTGATGCTGAGCAGCTGCCCGCCTTCGCTCACTTGCCCGCGAACGTTAAAGCCGTAACCTGACTAGGACTTGACAATGCGGACGACGCGGGGCCCGCCCGGGGATCCCTCCCCAGCCCCGTTCCGCGCCTCCGGCAACGCTTAGCCCTCCTCGTCCGCCACCTTGGCGTCCACGCACGGCAAGCGTCACGATACTTCGCCCACGACGGCCGCCGTAGGGACCCACCCCTCCCGCTTGCACTGCAGAGTACGATGGGAAATGGAGTCCGCGGAGCTGCCCAGCGCCGTTAGCGTGCCGCGGGCCGCAGAGGATGATGGAAAATGTAGTCAGAGAGACAGAAAGGCGGGGACAGTGCGGCGCATGCGCTGTGGGCTTAGGAACAAGAGGTTGCCATGGGAACAGGGCTGTTGTCATGGGAAGGGGGTGTTGCCATGGAAACCGAGAGACTGTTACCATGGGGACGGGGAGAGGTGGGCATGGGAATGGGGGCTACAGGTGCCATTGGCCTGGAGGGCTGTTTACGTGGGAATGGGGGGTGTAGGCATGGGAATGGGAGGGGGCTGTTGCCATGGTAATGAGGGGGCTGTGGGTGTGGGAATTGGGAAAGGGCTGTTGCCATGGGAACAGAAGGGTGTTGTTCCCATGGGATTGAGGGGCTTAGGGCGTAGGGAAAGGGGGCTGCTGACATGAGAACGGGGGACGGTTGCCATGGAGATGGGATGCTGTTGCTATGAGAACGGGGTGTGCGTTGCCATGAAAACAGGGGGCGTGCTTTCCCTGGAAACCGGCAGGGGGCGCTGTTTGCGGCGGTGCTGTGGGGTGACTCCCAAGGGACTGAGGGAGCCCCAAAAATCGTGCAAATCTCACAAGGATCTGCTCAAAAACCTGAGCGGGACCCTCCTTGTTCGTTGCCAAGCTGACTAAGCAGAGATGAACAAACAGAAACCCCCCGGTTTCATCAAAAGCTGTGTTTTGGGTCCAATAAGAGGGACAAGGCTCCTGTGCCCCCTGGCACTGGTGGGAGGCGGGGGTAAAGGGGAGTCCCTGGGGGTACAGGGAGCACTGGGAGCACTGGAATGGGGAGCTCTGCGCAGCCCCACATCCGACCCTCCCACTCATTGCCACCACCCCAGTCACAGGAACACAAGATCTGTGGGATGGGGGTGCACACGGGGAGTGCCCTGGGGCAGGGACCCCCAGTGCCCCCAGTGTTACAGCACGCTCTCGTAGTCACGGGGGTCCCAATATCCCTTGTCGGGTCCTGACAGCTCCGCGTTGGTCACTTGTGGATCCCGAGGTGGGGCAGGACCGAAGGACACCCGTGGGGGCCGTGAGAGTGACACCAGTTGTGAGGCCCTGGGTGGAAGTGATACCCATGGGTGATGTGTCCCTGTCCCCCCCTGTACTCACCCTCTGCCCACTCAGTGCCCACAATATGGGGGTCCAGCACAGCTCCCACCGCCAGGGGGGTCCTGGGGGGATAAGGAGGGGGATCTGGCTGGGTTCTGGGAAGAGGGAAAGGAGAGTCCCAGACAGAGGCCCCCACTCACATGTGCTGGGGCTTCCTGGTGGCTGCAAGGGAAGGGAGAGGGGGTGACAGTGGAGACACCGGGACCCCTGAACCTTCCTGGGACCTCAGCAGCTCCAACCACCCATAGGACCTCCAAATCCCCACAGCAGCCCTGATTCCCAGCGGATTCCTGATCTCTGCCCCCACTCTGGGGGCTTCCCCTCACTCCAGGACCCCCACCCCCCATTGTCACCCACCCCAGCAGTGCCACCAGTGACAGCCCCCGATGACAGCCAGGAGCAGGAGCAGGAACAGGAGGGTCCTGCCGACATTCACAGCCACTGCTGGGGACAGAGGGGACACACTGGGGTTACCCTGAACCCTGGGGGTACTGAGCACCCTGGTGACCCCGTGTGAACCCACCTGTGACCCAGGGTGAGCCAGGTGTCACCTCCAGTGCCAGCTCAGGACTGAGTGCCCGGAACACGCGGTGCCCGTCCTGTCCCAGCTGGTTGGTGGCCAAGCACTGATAGGTGCCCAAATGTCGCACATCGATGTCCCTGAGCTCCAGGACGGGACCCCGGGCCACTTCCTGCCCATTGTGCAGCCAGGTGAATGTGACAGGGGCTGAGCCCACCTGCACCGAGCAGCGCAGTGTCACGGCATCACCTGTGTGCACCGGGTGTGACAGGGGGCCGGGGGTGATGGTGGCATTGGCCATGGGCACTATGGGGACACAGACAAGGCTGGCACTGGCGAGGTGGGATGGGGGTGCCGTGGGTGGGGTCACCCCCATCCCGAGGGTCCCGCTCACCCAGGACGGTGACATTCAGGGGTCACTCTTGGCCACGCTGTCCCCGTCGCTGACCCGGCACCGGTACTGGCCGCTGTCATTGTCCCCAACGTGGCGCAGCTCAAGGTGGGGGCCGCTGCCCTGCAGTGCCGCTGAGCCCTCCCGGTGCCAGGAGAAGGACAGGGGACCTGTTCCTATGGCCACGGCACAGCTCAGCACTAGGCGGTCCCCGAGTGCCACCTGTCCTGCGGGGGGCTGTGCTGACACAGACACCCCCGAGGGCGGGACCCCTGCAGGAGAGGGAGACACCAGGGGACAGTGAGGGACCAAGAGGATGTCAAGGAGGGGCAGGGGAATTCCAGTGAGGGAGAGGGGGTGCAGAGATTGGGGGAGGGGGACTTAGAAAGGAATCCCGAGAGATGATAAGGGGGTCAGGGAGGGAACACCTGGAGAGGGAGGTGGGAAACACCAGGAAGGGTACGGGGACCATGGGAGGGGATGGTGAGACTTAGGGAATGTGTGGAGACCTCAGAGAGGGGTGAAGGAACCCAGGGAGGGGTACGGGGACACGACGAAGGATGGAGGGAAACACAAGCCAGGAATGGGGGGACCTCTAGGAGCGACCTGGGGCATCGATGGCAGGACACAGAAAACGCACCAGGGAAGGATGGGGGTACCCATGTAGGGGCTGGGGGTCCCGGGGAGAGACCCGAGAAAAAATGGGGAGAGCCAGGAAGGAATCTGGAAAAAGTTGGGTACCCCAGAGCAGGCGTCAGGGAGGTCTGGGGGATGCCAGGCAGTGTGGGGGACCCGAGGCATCTGTGGGGGCTCCCCGTGCCCATCCCTGCACTCACTGCACACAGCTTGTGGCACAGACAGCTTGGGAACCGAGGCCACCCTGGGCTGAGGCAGCACAGGGGGACACTGTGGACATCTGGGCAAGTGGTCACCAAAGACACAGCCCATGCTGGCCCAGGTCACCCCCACCAGCTCATGATCCCATCCCCATGATCCCATCCCCATGGCCACATCCTCACCGTTCTTGTTCCTGCATCCCAGTTTCCTTGTCCCTATCCCCAGAGCTACCCGAGCCCAAAGGTTCCAGTCCCCACATTCCTGTCCACACATCCCCATCCCCGAATACCTGCCCCCTGTTCCTGTCCCCAAAGCCACCCTACATCTCCAGTCCCACCAAGGTCCACTGTGGGTAACATGGAGTGGCACTGCTGTCATTGGGGACCTCAGGGGACCCAACAGCCCCACTGTGCCCCCTCCCCTCCCAATCCCCAGGGTGTCAGGCCCGTGCCCGGGGCACTCACCCCACAGGAGCAGCACCACCTTCCCGGCCACCCCGGTGTCCCCAGCCATGTGCACTGGCTGTCACTCGCTGCTGTGGCCACTACTCCCCCAGCTAGCGGCTCTTCGGATGAAGGGGAAGGAAGCGAGGTCACATCTTGACCTCATGCGTAGGTGGCCCTTGGTGGGGGCAGGGTGGCCACAGGCAGAGGACACAGGTGGGTGGGACAAAATGGGTCCTTGGGTTCCCAGGACTGGGGGGCTCAGTGGTTTTGGGGCGGCAGGAATGGGGTCACTGGGAAATGGGGTCTTGAGGAAGGGGAATTTTCGGCGATGGGGGAGCCATGGGAATGGGCGTCCCCATAGCTGGTGGGACTCAGGGATGGGAGTCCTAGGGGAATGTGGGCTCCAAGGATTTGAGTTCATTGGATGGGGGAATGGTGGGTCCTAGGAGGATTTCAGGGGATGGAATGAACGGGAAGGTGTTCCCTGTGTCCCCCCCCAGATCCTGTGCTCCCGTGCCCGGGGGGATGGCAGGGAGTGCGGTGGTCCCATGTGGGGCTGCCAAGAGCTCCCCGTTCCTCTGCTCCCAGTTCTCCCAGTGCTCCCAGTACCCCCAGAGGCTCCCACTTCCCTCCCCCTGTTCCAGGGGGCACAGCATCCCATCCCTCTTATTGAGCCCCACATACACCTTTGTGATTAAACTGAGAGAAATGGATTTTGTTTGTTCAGCTCTGACTGGCCAGTTCGGGATTGAGGAGGTTCCCGGTCAGGTTGTTGAACAGATCCTTGTGGGATTTGCAGGATTTTTGGGGCTCCCTCAGTCCCTTGGGGACAGGAACAAAATGATCAATTGCTGCATTTCCAAACTGGTTTCCTCTCAGCTGCCCCCTAACGGGGAAGGAGTTGCCGCTCCCTGTTTGTTCCCTCTCGGTGACACCGGCCAAGGGCTCGGGCACCTGTGGCGGTGCCGCCCCGTTACCTCGGGCACCGATCCGGCAGCTGCCGAGCCCCTCGGGCCCACCCCAGCTCAGCCCATCCCCGCTCGGTGCCCAAACCCCGCACCAGGCGCTCCGCGAGCGGCGTCTGAGCCGCGGAGATGCTGCGGAGCCCCGGCCGGGGGCACCGGGAGGGCGGAGGCGACCGGGGACCCTGGGGAGGAGCCCCCGGTGCTGCGGGAGCGGAGTCCCGGCCTCGGGTCACTGTCGCCGGTCGCGGCTGCCATCGTACTGCGAGAGCCGAGCCTGTCCCGGGCTGCGGGGACCGACGGTGTCGGTGTGTCCCGAGGGGGGATTTTGGGGTCTTACCCCGTCCTTTCCAGGAACCCCCGATCCCCCATCCCCCCGCGGCTCCGGGGCTGTTGGGGACGTTGGGAACAGCGCCGCTCGCGCCGGGGGCCGTTGGGGACATCTCGCGACAGCCGCTGCTGTCGGGTCTGGCGACAATCGCGACATCCATATCGGCCAATGGCGACACGCGACAGCCGCCCCTGCTCGGGATTCGCCTCCCTCCATCCCGGGGGCACTCCGGGGTCTCGGGTCCCCAACCCCAGCGGGTCCCGTGTCCCCCAAAACGCTCCTGGGGACACCTCGGTCCCCCCTGACCCCCTTGGTCCCTCCCGTCCCCCCGGGCTCGGCGGAGGCTCCGCAGGAGCTCCGGGGCTCGGAGCCCGCCCGGGGAGCGCCGGCTGCGGGGTCGGGCACCGAGGGGGCACCGGGAGGGGAACCAGGCAGGGCTGGGGAGGGGGGATCTGGGCACCGGAGGGATTTTGGGAGGATTTGGGGAGATTTTAGGGTGATTTGGGGGATTTGGAGGGCATTTTGAGGTGATTTGGGATTATTTTGGGGGCCATTTGGGAGATTTTTGGAGGGTGGGGAAATTAGGAGGGGTTTTGGGGTCATTTTAAGGGCTTTTGAGGGTGATTCAGAGGTGATTTTAGAGAAGTCTGGTGAGCTTTGGGGTGATTTTGCGCAGATTTTTGAGAGTTTGGGGTGATTTGTGGGATTTAGAGGATGTTTGGATATTTTGTGCAGAATCTGGAGGATATTGGGGTGATTTAAAAGATTTTGGAGGCTTTAGGGATGATTTGGGGGAATTTTGGGGCAATTTGGGTTTAAGGATTTTGAGGAGTTTGGGGACATTTGGGGTTGATTTTGGTGGATTTTCTGGGTATTTTTGTGGTATTTTGGGGGCCATTTTTATGGGAGTTTTTCGTGAGATTTTGGGAGAATTTGGGGGGGATTTGGGAGCCTCACCCCATCCTTTCCTGCAGCCCAAGGGCTGCTCCAGCCCCATCGTGCTGCTCGATGATGTCACCAATGTCACCGTCACCCCTGGAGCGCTGCCCTTGCTCCGGGACAAACCCCAAAACCATCCAAGTCATCATCAGGGACCTGACCCAGGAGCTCATGTGAGGCTTCCAAAATCCAACATTTTTCCCCCAACATCTGCAATTTTCTCCCCCAAAATCTGCTATTCCCCACCCCCCCCCCCCCAAAATCCACGATATTTTGCCCCAAAATTCGTGATTCTTTGACTGAAAATTCAGGATTTTTCCCCCGAAAATTCAGGATTTTTTCATTAAAAAGTCTGGGGTTTTTCCCCAAAATTTAGGATTTAAAAAAAAAAAAAAAAAAACAAACAGGATTTTTTTGCTCAAAATCTGCTGGGTTTTCCCTCCAAAATCTGGGATATTTTTCCGCTGATCCTGTTCCGTGTGCCCAAGAATTCCCAAGGATTGACCCCCAGCCTTGCTCATCATCGGCACCGAGGAATTCCAGCGGATCCAGGAGGAGTCTCAGCCTCCCCGGCAGCTCACGGATCGGCTGCGGATCCTAAAATCTCACCAGGACGTGGCTTTGTGGGCATCTCCTGATTGCCTGAGCCCCAATTTCCCAAACCCGAATTTCCTGATCCCAAATTTCCCGATCCCAAATTTCCCAATCCCACTTTTCCTGAGCCTGATTTTCCCGATCCCGCTATTCCTGGTCCCAAATTTCCTGAGCCCAATTTTCCCAATCCCAAATTTCCCAATCTTGATCTTCCCAATCCCAAATTTTCTGATCCCGCTTTTCCCAATCCTGCTTTTCCTGACCCTGCATTCCCTTTCCCCACTTTCCCTGATCCCACTTTTCTAATCCTGATTTTCTCGATCCCACTTTTCTTGATCCTGATTTTCTGGATCCTGTTGTTCCTGATCCTGATTTTACTGATCCAGGGAATGCCCCAGGATGTCCCTGGGAATGTCACCAGGAATGGCTCTGGGAATGTCCCGGGGAATGCCTTGGGATGTCCCAGGGATGTGTACAAAATGTCTGCGGGCTGTCCCGAGGATATCCCTGGGAATGACCCCCAGGAAGATGCTGGGAATGCCCTGGGCTGTCCCTCAATGTCCCCAGGCTGTATTAACATTGTTTGTGATTCTCCTTATGTTACAGGAATCATTGAGAGAATTCAGCACTCATTCCTGAAGGAAGGCTCTAACAAAGTTCTTTTTCTGTTATTAATCTCTCTGTACAGCTTTTCACTTCACAGGTCTCAGCAATACAACCTTCTGCACTTTAGATCACACACCCCTCTGCCTGGACCTGCACTGGAAGGTGATGTGAAGGCAGATGCCCTCGCCATGACAGTCACTATACCACTAAAGTCAGGGCAGGCCAAACTTTCTCATGATGTCTACCATCAAAATGCCTGAGCACTGGGAAAACAATTCCATCTGACTTTGCCCCAGGCACGGGATGTAGTGAATCCTTGCTCCCAGTGTCAGCAGACTCTTTCTATGCCACCAATGTTAGGTACAAACTCACAAGGGTTGAAACCTAATGACATCTGGCAAACAGATGTAACACACTTTTCGAGCTTTGGGACTTTTAAATATGTCCATGTTTCTCCTGACACCTTTTCTGGATTCACAGTAGCAACAGTACACTAGGGTGAGAAATCCATGGGAATTTGAGGGGAATTTTGGAGGGGAACTGAAAGATTCTAAATG